TGGGCGGAGCAGCTCCCGGCCAGTGTTGGGCGGAGCAGCTCCCGGCCAGTGTTGGGCGGAGCAGCTCCCGGCCAGTGTTGGGCGGAGCAGCTCCCGGCCAGTGTTGGGCGGAGCAGCTCCCGGCCAGTGTTGGGCGGAGCAGCTCCCGGCCAGTGTTGGGCGGAGCAGCTCCCGGCCAGTGTTGGGCGGAGCAGCTCCCGGCCAGTGTTGGGCGGAGCAGCTCCCGGCCAGTGTTGGGCGGAGCAGCTCCCGGTGTTGGGCCAGTGTTGGGCGGAGCAGCTCCCGGCCAGTGTTGGGCGGAGCAGCTCCCGGCCAGTGTTGGGCGGAGCAGCTCCCGGCCAGTGTTGGGCGGAGCAGCTCCCGGCCAGTGTTGGGCGGAGCAGCTCCCGGCCAGTGTTGGGCGGAGCAGCTCCCGGCCAGTGTTGGGCGGAGCAGCTCCCGGCCAGTGTTGGGCGGAGCAGCTCCCGGCCAGTGTTGGGCGGAGCAGCTCCCGGCCAGTGTTGGGCGGAGCAGCTCCCGGCCAGTGTTGGGCGGAGCAGCTCCCGGCCAGTGTTGGGCGGAGCAGCTCCCGGCCAGTGTTGGGCGGAGCAGCTCCCGGCCAGTGTTGGGCGGAGCAGCTCCCGGCCAGTGTTGGGCGGAGCAGCTCCCGGCCAGTGTTGGGCGGAGCAGCTCCCGGCCAGTGTTGGGCGGAGCAGCTCCCGGCCAGTGTTGGGCGGAGCAGCTCCCGGCCAGTGTTGGGCGGAGCAGCTCCCGGCCAGTGTTGGGCGGAGCAGCTCCCGGCCAGTGTTGGGCGGAGCAGCTCCCGGCCAGTGTTGGGCGGAGCAGCTCCCGGCCAGTGTTGGGCGGAGCAGCTCCCGGCCAGTGTTGGGCGGAGCAGCTCCCGGCCAGTGTTGGGCGGAGCAGCTCCCGGCCAGTGTTGGGCGGAGCAGCTCCGGCCAGTTGGGCGGAGCAGCTCCCGGCCAGTGTTGGGCGGAGCAGCTCGCGGCCAGTGTTGGGCGGAGCAGCTCGCGGCCAGTGTTGGGCGGAGCAGCTCGCGGCCAGTGTTGGGCGGAGCAGCTCGCGGCCAGTGTTGGGCGGAGCAGCTCGCGGCCAGTGTTGGGCGGAGCAGCTCCCGGCCAGTGTTGGGCGGAGCAGCTCCCGGCCAGTGTTGGGCGGAGCAGCTCCCGGCCAGTGTTGGGCGGAGCAGCTCCCGGCCAGTGTTGGGCGGAGCAGCTCCCGGCCAGTGTTGGGCGGAGCAGCTCCCGGCCAGTGTTGGGCGGAGCAGCTCCCGGCCAGTGTTGGGCGGAGCAGCTCCCGGCCAGTGTTGGGCGGAGCAGCTCCCGGCCAGTGTTGGGCGGAGCAGCTCCCGGCGGCCAGTGTTGGGCGGAGCAGCTCCCGGCCAGTGTTGGGCGGAGCAGCTCCCGGCCAGTGTTGGGCGGAGCAGCTCCCGGCCAGTGTTGGGCGGAGCAGCTCCCGGCCAGTGTTGGGCGGAGCAGCTCCCGGCCAGTGTTGGGCGGAGCAGCTCCCGGCCAGTGTTGGGCGGAGCAGCTCCCGGCCAGTGTTGGGCGGAGCAGCTCCCGGCCAGTGTTGGGCGGAGCAGCTCCCGGCCAGTGTTGGGCGGAGCAGCTCCCGGCCAGTGTTGGGCGGAGCAGCTCCCGGCCAGTGTTGGGCGGAGCAGCTCCCGGCCAGTGTTGGGCGGAGCAGCTCCCGGCCAGTGTTGGGCGGAGCAGCTCCCGGCCAGTGTTGGGCGGAGCAGCTCCCGGCCAGTGTTGGGCGGAGCAGCTCCCGGCCAGTGTTGGGCGGAGCAGCTCCCGGCCAGTGTTGGGCGGAGCAGCTCCCGGCCAGTGTTGGGCGGAGCAGCTCCCGGCCAGTGTTGGGCGGAGCAGCTCCCGGCCAGTGTTGGGCGGAGCAGCTCCCGGCCAGTGTTGGGCGGAGCAGCTCCCGGCCAGTGTTGGGCGGAGCAGCTCCCGGCCAGTGTTGGGCGGAGCAGCTCCCGGCCAGTGTTGGGCGGAGCAGCTCCCGGCCAGTGTTGGGCGGAGCAGCTCCCGGCCAGTGTTGGGCGGAGCAGCTCCCGGCCAGTGTTGGGCGGAGCAGCTCCCGGCCAGTGTTGGGCGGAGCAGCTCCCGGCCAGTGTTGGGCGGAGCAGCTCCCGGCCAGTGTTGGGCGGAGCAGCTCCCGGCCAGTGTTGGGCGGAGCAGCTCCCGGCCAGTGTTGGGCGGAGCAGCTCCCGGCCAGTGTTGGGCGGAGCAGCTCCCGGCCAGTGTTGGGCGGAGCAGCTCCCGGCCAGTGTTGGGCGGAGCAGCTCCCGGCCAGTGTTGGGCGGAGCAGCTCCCGGCCAGTGTTGGGCGGAGCAGCTCCCGGCCAGTGTTGGGCGGAGCAGCTCCCGGCCAGTGTTGGGCGGAGCAGCTCCCGGCCAGTGTTGGGCGGAGCAGCTCCCGGCCAGTGTTGGGCGGAGCAGCTCCCGGCCAGTGTTGGGCGGAGCAGCTCCCGGCCAGTGTTGGGCGGAGCAGCTCCCGGCCAGTGTTGGGCGGAGCAGCTCCCGGCCAGTGTTGGGCGGAGCAGCTCCCGGCCAGTGTTGGGCGGAGCAGCTCCCGGCCAGTGTTGGGCGGAGCAGCTCCCGGCCAGTGTTGGGCGGAGCAGCTCCCGGCCAGTGTTGGGCGGAGCAGCTCCCGGCCAGTGTTGGGCGGAGCAGCTCCCGGCCAGTGTTGGGCGGAGCAGCTCCCGGCCAGTGTTGGGCGGAGCAGCTCCCGGCCAGTGTTGGGCGGAGCAGCTCCCGGCCAGTGTTGGGCGGAGCAGCTCCCGGCCAGTGTTGGGCGGAGCAGCTCCCGGCCAGTGTTGGGCGGAGCAGCTCCCGGCCAGTGTTGGGCGGAGCAGCTCCCGGCCAGTGTTGGGCGGAGCAGCTCCCGGCCAGTGTTGGGCGGAGCAGCTCCCGGCCAGTGTTGGGCGGAGCAGCTCCCGGCCAGTGTTGGGCGGGAGCAGCTCCCGGCCAGTGTTGGGCGGAGCAGCTCCCTGCCAGTGTTGGGCCCGGCCAGTGTTGGGCGGAGCAGCTCCCGGCCAGTGTTGGGCGGAGCAGCTCCCGGCCAGTGTTGGGCGGAGCAGCTCCCGGCCAGTGTTGGGCGGAGCAGCTCCCGGCCAGTGTTGGGCGGAGCAGCTCCCGGCCAGTGTTGGGCGGAGCAGCTCCCGGCCAGTGTTGGGCGGAGCAGCTCCCGGCCAGTGTTGGGCGGAGCAGCTCCCGGCCAGTGTTGGGCGGAGCAGCTCCCGGCCAGTGTTGGGCGGAGCAGCTCCCGGCCAGTGTTGGGCGGAGCAGCTCCCGGCCAGTGTTGGGCGGAGCAGCTCCCGGCCAGTGTTGGGCGGAGCAGCTCCCGGCCAGTGTTGGGCGGAGCAGCTCCCGGCCAGTGTTGGGCGGAGCAGCTCCCGGCCAGTGTTGGGCGGAGCAGCTCCCGGCCAGTGTTGGGCGGAGCAGCTCCCGGCCAGTGTTGGGCGGAGCAGCTCCCGGCCAGTGTTGGGCGGAGCAGCTCCCGGCCAGTGTTGGGCGGAGCAGCTCCCGGCCAGTGTTGGGCGGAGCAGCTCCCGGCCAGTGTTGGGCGGAGCAGCTCCCGGCCAGTGTTGGGCGGAGCAGCTCCCGGCCAGTGTTGGGCGGAGCAGCTCCCGGCCAGTGTTGGGCGGAGCAGCTCCCGGCCAGTGTTGGGCGGAGCAGCTCCCGGCCAGTGTTGGGCGGAGCAGCTCCCGGCCAGTGTTGGGCGGAGCAGCTCCCGGCCAGTGTTGGGCGGAGCAGCTCCCGGCCAGTGTGTTGGGCGGAGCAGCTCCCGGCCAGTGTTGGGCGGAGCAGCTCCCGGCCAGTGTTGGGCGGAGCAGCTCCCGGCCAGTGTTGGGCGGAGCAGCTCCCGGCCAGTGTTGGGCGGAGCAGCTCCCGGCCAGTGTTGGGCGGAGCAGCTCCCGGCCAGTGTTGGGCGGAGCAGCTCCCGGCCAGTGTTGGGCGGAGCAGCTCCCGGCCAGTGTTGGGCGGAGCAGCTCCCGGCCAGTGTTGGGCGGAGCAGCTCCCGGCCAGTGTTGGGCGGAGCAGCTCCCGGCCAGTGTTGGGCGGAGCAGCTCCCTGCCTGTGTTGGGCGGAGCAGCTCCCTGCCAGTGTTGGGCGGAGCAGCTCCCTGCCAGTGTTGGGCGGAGCAGCTCCCTGCCAGTGTTGGGCGGAGCAGCTCCCTGCCAGTGTTGGGCGGAGCAGCTCCCGGCCAGTGTTGGGCGGAGCAGCTCCCGGCCAGTGTTGGGCGGAGCAGCTCCCGGCCAGTGTTGGGCGGAGCAGCTCCCGGCCAGTGTTGGGCGGAGCAGCTCCCGGCCAGTGTTGGGCGGAGCAGCTCCCGGCCAGTGTTGGGCGGAGCAGCTCCCGGCCAGTGTTGGGCGGAGCAGCTCCCTGCCAGTGTTGGGCGGAGCTTTAGGGGAGGGCAAGAGAGGGCAGGCAGGGCAGGGCAGGAGAGGGCAGGGAGAGGGCAGAGCAGGAGAGGGCAGGGGAGAGCAGGGCAGGGCAGGGCAGGGCAGGGGAGGGCAGGAGAGGGCAGGGCAGAGCAGGGGAGGGTAGGGGAGGGCAGGAGAGGGCGCCGGGGAGCGGTCAGCGGACGCCGGGGAGCGGTCAGGGAACACCGGTGTTTGGTACACCAGTCAGGGGACACCGGGGAGCGGTCAGGGAACACCGGTGTTTGGTACACCAGTCAGGGGACACCGGGGAGCGGTCAGGGAACACCGGTGTTTGGTACACCAGTCAGGGGACACCGGGGAGCGGTCAGGGAACACCGGTGTTTGGTACACCAGTCAGGGGACACCGGGGAGCGGTCAGGGAACACCGGTGTTTGGTACACCAGTCAGCGGAAGTCGGAGAGCGGTCAGGGGACGCCGGGGAGCGGTCAGGGAACACCGGTGTTTGGTACACCAGTCAGGGGACACCGGGGAGCGGTCAGGGAACACCGGTGTTTGGTACACCAGTCAGGGGACACCGGGGAGCGGTCAGGGAACACCGGTGTTTGGTACACCAGTCAGCGAACGTCGGAGAGCGGTCAGGGGACGCCGGGGAGCGGTCAGGGGACGCCGGGGAGCGGTCAGGGGACGGCGCCGGGGAGCGGTCAGGGGACGGCGCCGGGGAGCGGTCAGGGGACGGCGCCGGGGAGCGGTCAGGGGACGGCGCCGGGGAGCGGTCAGGGGACGGCGCCGGGGAGCGGTCAGGGGACGGCGCCGGGGAGCGGTCAGGGGACGCCGGGGAGCGGTCAGGGGACGCCGGGGAGCGGTCAGGGGACGCCGGGGAGCGGTCAGGGGACGCCGGGGAGCGGTCAGGGAACACCAGACATTATTAACCTTCAGGGAGCCACACATAAGACACCCATCACTGTGACCTTTATGGGGAAAATATTGACTTTTTAGTGGCTGGATTTTTGTATATATTTCCTGTGGAGAGGAAGTTTGACTTCAACACTGAGAGAGCTTTCTGGCTTTTTGTACCAGAGTTGTGTTGGATTACTGAGCAACGCTGCTGTTGGTGTTGGTATTATGGGTGGTGCTGGCATTAGAGAGAGTGTTCTTGATGTATGTGATGCCGCATGATTGAGCGTGGAAGATACAGCTGTTGTATGAAGCAGTGAGTATTGTTGTTGTATTGCTGGTGAGGGTGTTGTATCTAATAGACTGACAAACACTCCGACACAAACACATAAGTGTTCTGCTGTGTTTATCACTGATCAAAGTTTATATTGTTCTGTGCAAAATATAAATCTTCACAATAGTATTGATGTAAACAAATATATTATTTTTTGACTCTTAAAACTATAATTTGCACAAAACATTTGGGTCATAACTTGAGACGTTGACACCACCTGGCGGCAACTTGTGGACCAACTTACACATTACTGAAGCCTCGCAGGAAAGTGTTGCATCAACCTAAATTAATTAGGAAGAAAGTTTGTTTTTGCTGAACGCCTTAATGCTTCCTCTTACCCACCGTGCCTTACTGGAGCACCTTACGGAGCCCCAGACACGCACACAGTGTTTCTTAAACCACATATGGAGCCTCAGACACGCACACAGTGTTACTTACACCACTTATGGAGCCTCAGACACGCACACAGTGTTACTTACACCACTTATGGAGCCTCAGACACGCACACAGTGTTACTTACACCACTTATGGAGCCTCAGACACGCACACAGTGTTACTTACACCACTTATGGAGCCTCAGACACGCACACAGTGTTACTTACACCACTTATGGAGCCTCAGACACGCACAAAGTGTTACTTAACACACTTACGAAGCCTCAGACACGCACACAGCGTTACTTAAACCACTTATGAAGCCTCAGACACGCACACAGTGTTACTTACACCACTTATGGAGCCTCAGACACGCACACAGTGGTACTTAAACCACTTATGAAGCCTCAGACACGCACAGAGTGTTACTTACACCACTTATGGAGCCTCAGACACGCACACAGTGTTACTTACACCACTTATGGAGCCTCAGACACGCACACAGTGTTACTTAAACCACTTATGGAGCCTCAGACACGCACACAGTGTTACACCACTTATGGAGCCTCAGACACGCACACAGTGTTACTTAAACCACTTATGGAGCCTCAGACACGCACACAGTGTACTTACACCACTTATGGAGCCTCAGACACGCACACAGTGTTACTTAACACACTTACGAAGCCTCAGACACGCACACAGTGGTACTTAAACCACTTATGAAGCCTCAGACACGCACACAGTGTTACTTAAACCACTTATGGAGCCTCAGACACGCACACAGTGTTACTTAACACACTTACGAAGCCTCAGACACGCACACAGTGTTACTTAAACCACTTATGAAGCCTCAGACACGCACACAGTGTTACTTAAACCACTTATGGAGCCTCAGACACGCACAAAGTGTTACTTAACACACTTACGAACCCTCAGACACTCATACAGTGTTACTTAAGGCACGTCTTCTCGCTGTCAGAGCCAGAAGGTCAGAACTGCTTCACCCAATGTCATACTATTATCTAACTGAGAGATTTATATTCCAGGCATTTTTCAGTTTTCCAGAACACAAGTTAAAAATATCACTCGCCCTCACCACACTCACCCTCACCACACACTCACCCTCACCACACACTCACCCCTCACCACACACTCGCCCTCACCACACACTCACCCTCACCACACACCCCTCACCACACACTCACCCTCACCACACACTCGCCCTCACCACACACTCGCCCTCACCACACTCACCCTCACCACACACTCGCCCTCACCACACACTCGCCCTCACCACACTCGCCCTCACCACACACTCGCCCTCACCACACACTCGCCCTCACCACACACTCGCCCTCACCACACACTCGCCCTCACCACACACTCGCCCTCACCACACACTCGCCCTCACCACACACTCGCCCTCACCACACTCACCCTCACCACACACTCGCCCTCACCACACACTCGCCCTCACCACACTCGCCCTCACCACACACTCGCCCTCACCACACACTCACCCCTCACCACACACACACACTCACCCCACACCACACACACACCCCACACCACACACACACACACACACCCCTCACCACACACACACACACACACCCCTCACCACACACACACACACACACACCCCTCACCACACACACACACACACACACCCCTCACCACACACACACACACACACCCCTCACCACACACACACATACACACACACACACACACACACACACATGGGTGGAAACTGGAAACTCAGATGAGTCACAGAGATGTTAGGAAGTTTTCTTTTAGCGTGAGAGTAGTAGAAAAATGGAATGCACTTGGGGAACAGGTTGTGGAAGCAAATACTATTCATACTTTTAAAACTAGGTATGATAGGGAAATGGGACAGGAGTCATTGCTGTAAACAACCGATAGCTAGAAAGGCGGGATCCAAGAGTCAATGCTCGATCCTGCAAGCACATATAGGTGAGTACATATAGGTGAGTACACACACACACACCCCTCACCACACACACACACACACACCCCTCACCACACACACCCCTCACCACACACACCCCTCACCACACACACCCCTCACCACACACACCCCTCACCACACACACCCTCACCACACACACCCTCACCACACACACCCTCACCACACAGGGCTGGGACTGGTCCCTCGTCCATCTTACAGTAATGAAACTGTGACAGCAAACGACTCTGTCCTCCTTGAGCTGTGACGCCGACGGTGTCTGGCGCAGTGTACGACCCTCAGACGACTGTGTCTGGCGCAGTGTACGACCCTCAGACGACGGTGTCTGGCGCAGTGTACGACCCTCAGACGACGGTGTCTGGCGCTCAACAGGTCCCACAGTGGTGACAAAGGTGCCAGGTAAGACTTACACTGGTGGTGAAGGTCCCACAGTGGTGACAAAGGTGCCAGGTAAGACTTAAAATGGGGGTGAAGGTCCCACAGTGGGGGGACACGCCTGTATGACTGTCAAAGGTCAAGTTCAACAGGGGGGGAACAAAGGGCCGCTGGTCAATGAGCCTGACAAAGGTCGCGCCTCCAGCAACAATGACTGAAATTCCATGTTAATTTGTATTGTCATTCAACGAGAGCAGTGCAAAGGTTGCTTTACGCGCCTTGACGTGACGGCTGTGGTGTATGTGGTGACGTGACACCTGTGTCCGTCAGTGTTGTGGTGACGTGACACCTGTGTCCGTCAGTGTTGTGGTGACGTGACACCTGTGTCCGTCAGTGTTGTGGTGGTGTGTACACCTGTGTCCGCCAGTGTTGTGCTTGTGTGTAAACCTGTGTCCGTCAGTGTGGAGGTTTGAGGGGCCCATCGTGGGCACCGTGGGCAGCGTGGGGTACAGACAGACATAAGCCTGGGGGGCTGATGGCTACAGTTGTACTACAGTGAGTGAGTGTAAGAGTCTCCTGGACTCCACCATAAGGCCTGTGTCACACCCCCAGGCAGCCTTGTTATGCATGTATACACAATACTCAACATGTATACACAGTACTCAACATGTATACACAGTACTCAACATGTATACACAATACTCAACATGTATACACAATACTCAACATGTGTACACAATACTCAACATGTGTACACAATACTCAACATGTGTACACAATACTCAACATGTGTACACAATACTCAACATGTGTACACAATACTCAACATGTGTACACAATACTCAACATGTGTACACAGTACTCAACATGTGTACACAGTACTCAACATGTGTACACAGTACTCAACATGTGTACACAGTACTCAACATGTGTACACAGTACTCAACATGTGTACACAGTACTCAACATGTGTACACAGTACTCAACATGTGTACACAATACTCAACATAAATACTTCATGCAGTATATATGAAAGCCTTCATCTCTGTTAACTAGAGTTCTGAGTAATAATTCATACACTACACAAAGGCACCAAAGGAGTCACCGGGATCCCAACCCTGCGAGTCCTCTCCACTTGTTACTTTAGTCTCAGTCTCTAATACAAACAGACCTGATTTGAGGAATTTATAATTAATTCAAAGTTCCTTGCCATGGTCGCCTCAGCCAGGCCGCCTCAGCCAGGCCGCCTCAGCCAGGCCGCCCTCTCCTCTACAGGCAATCTTTACCACTGAGAGAAAACTTGCCGCTGCTTCAGTTCGATCCCTCTTTACCTCTCCTGAAGGGTTCAGCCTCGGTGTAGGATATCTTCCACCATGAAGGGAAGATATCCCTTCTTGGGATATCTGTTTCTTGGCCACAAAGAAACGAAACTGTAAATGAACCACAAACGAATGTCCTGCGACTTATCTTTAACACTGGTAATTTTCCTGTCATGCATCAGGTTCTCTGAACGCTTCCATGTATTGAAACTTGGCTTGGTTCATCCATAGAGTTTTGTCTTGTTGCAGTTAGTTACCCGTCCACATAATGCACACACTGGAGTCTGCCAGTGTAGATGACTTATCACATGCCTCTGTACTACTAACCATCCTGTGTGATGGGGATTTTTAGCACCACGAAGCTAGCTTTTTGACACACACTGTACTCCCCTTCATATAGTCTAGGGCAGCTGCACACACACACACACACACACACACACACACACTGTACTCCCATTCATATAGTCTAGGGCAGCTACACACACTGTACTCCCCTTCATATAGTCTAGGGCAGCTGCACACACACACACACACTGTACTCCCCTTCATATAGTCTAGGGCAGCTGCACACACACACACACACACACACACTGTACTCCCCTTCATATAGTCTAG